CCCAAAGTGCTCTGTTTCAAGAGTAAATAAAACCAAAATTAAAAGTAACAAATGTTTATTTTTTCTTGCTTTTGAAGTTCATATGTCATGCTGTGTTGTAGCCTACAGAGTGAATAATTCTTCATGTGATTCGTGGCATGCATTTTACTGATGTCACGATGGTACAACTTGCAATGTTACGCATTCCTTATGTGACGTCATTTTAGTGTTTACTGACTAACTGGCAGATGACACATTGCTGTATAGTGGTGTGAGTGGTTAAAACAGGTGAACCCTCCAGGTAGCCTTCATCCCTCTTTCGGGGGAAAATACTTCTACCAAGGAAATGTTACAAAAAAGTTTCTCTGAATTTAATCAGTAGTTATATAGCAAGTAATACCTTGAAGAGACCATCCTGAAGTTTTCCTTTCAAAAGCAATAAAATAACATTTTCAATGCAAAAACTATCTAAAATTGAAAAGAACATTTTTACAGTGATCAATAATAAAAGTTAAACTATTATCTCACAAAGAAAGATTACAATAGCCTACACAACTTTTATCTTTTTATTTAAATTTATTCACTTTATTTATGCTTTTATATAGAAGAATTGAAAAGTTACGATTTAGTGAAATAGCAATTTTCCTTTACTAGTATATTATTTTTATGGCAAAATTTCCTGTCATCTCAGCTAATTATATTTATTTTATTGCATTTGCTTTCTTTCTGTAATATATTAATCTCTTCTTTTGCCATTTGAAAAATTTCGTCTTAAATTTCAAGGTACTGAATTGAATAGAGTTTTTAACTTGTGTAGCTTTACATGTATACTTGTATTTTTATTTTGATGTATAACCTGATTCAATAGTTTTTGTTTGTTTTATACTGTCAGATATTCAATCTGAAGGTTTGACAAGAGAAAGAGAAGCATATATACAATAACTAAGGATACATATATGTATATTAGTATCACAGTCATTTTTAAAAGAAACATATTTTTGTTGAGTATAATGGTTATGTAAGATACTTAACTTTAACTTACTAATTTAATTGAGTGTGAAAACTTCTTCCAGTGTTGTTCGAGTATCACAAAATCTTCAGCCTTAGAGGGAAGCACTCAAATATGTACTGAAAACTATCCAGAGAATGCATTACTGTTATCTCCTAAGAATGATGGAGCAGTGAGTATGTCAATGTATGGCTCAGCATCATTGCCTCTTTCCAGTTCCCAGTTGATGTTTGCACCTGATGAGCAAATAACTTCTCTGTCAAACTCCCAATCTATTACATTTCCACTTTTGGCATCATGTTCTGCTAGTTCTGTTGTAACAGCTCAACCTTCCCGAGGTAGTAATGATATACAGCATAATCTTTTTGGCACAGCTAAAACCAAGATATTAGGCCCTCAACCTGGTACATCAAGTAGCAGAGAGGGAGAACTAAAAACAGATCTTTCAGCCTCAGAAACCCAGTCTGGTTCTGCGGTTTCTGTTAGCATTTTCCACTCCACTTCTACCACAACAACACTAACTACCACAGCCCCTGACTGTCAGGTTTTTGCTACCAGAGGATCAGCAGCCATTTCCTCACATGCAGTCAGGTCTACTACAACTCGCAAAGTTGCTCCTACTACCAATCTAGAAGACTTAAAAATAGAGCTACAGAAACTACATGGTGTAGGTGGTGGAACAACAAATGAGATGCCTAGCAGCACCCAAGGTTTGTAGATAAACATAGATATTTTAGATCTAAATATTCTATATCATTCCAAAAAATCCACATAAAAATATGTATCAATGTACAGAAATACTCTTTAGTGTGTGTGTGTGTGTGTGTCTAATACAACTACCACTGTTAAACATTTAACTTTTCTCAAACTAAAGCACGAAAAGAAACATGATTACAACATTATTTTTAATATAAAGGTCCTGACATGTCAGAAGCTTCTTAAGAAGATAAAACCTTAGTTTGATAAATTTGAGAATGAATCAACCTATGTTTTTTACATCTACTCAACTGTTCTGTTTGAAGATGATATTCGTGCAGAGTAGAGCTATAAATCTGAAATACTGATGACACTGTGGATTCTGTTTTAGTGTGGTTGAGTTAATGTAATAGATAAAATAATGTAATAATAAAATTAATACAGTAAGGTTGTGGTGATTAGAACCCAATCATTGTTAGGAACATTTTCTTGTTCAGTATCTGAAAATGAATTAATTACTAATTTATTAATAGGTTGCACTTTGACTGTCATCTTCAGGAAAATCCTGTATTAGTTATTTTTGTGTGTGTGTGTGTGTGTATAGCAGAACCAGAATTCAAACTTGTGTCTTCTGATTGAAAGGCTAGTTTGAATTCTAACTTTGCTATATCAAAACAGTCTGTCTCTGGACTACTATGAATGCATTACAATCACTAGAAATGTAATATATATGTATATCATTAACTAGGTCGTTATTTTGTGATATATACAGGTAACATTGAATTAAATTTAGAGCTATATTGGATAGGTCCTCTTGATAGCAGGAGATTCATTCAAAATATTGATCACGAAGTAATAGGAAGTCTCTTACTAATTGAGTTAGTATAAAATAGAGTAATGAAATTGGACACAAAGTGAAATACAAAATGCATAATCTTTATTAAGATACTAAACACATAACATCATGTGTACTTACTTGAATAAACATGACAGACTGTCACTCCAACTGTTGGAGTTGGCTCTTCATGATTCTATTCCACACTAGACTGACTAAATGTAATATTCCTTAGCATGCAAGAATCCTCATATTTACCCAGGGTGACCAGTGCTACTCATGTGACAGGTTGTTTTCATTAAAACAGATGTGAGGTTGTAACCTCTAGATATATAAACAACCATTGAAGGACACTGCTGTTGATGTCCTTATATAACATGCAGTATCTATCCTAGGTGGAACAGGTATTATGTACTTTGAGAACAATAAAGGAACAAAGGTAGCTTAGAATTAAAACAACTTAATGGTTTTCTTGACCATGTGTTATGTGAAACCTGCATATTTACAAAAGAAAGAGTAAATTCAGAATAAGTACTACATTGCAAAAAAGATAGAATGTGTGGTATATTCATTTGCCATAACTCAATAAATAGATTAATCATATAGGCTATTACTGGTAACAGTAAAAGTAACACATGCTTGCAAAAGTCTTTTGCTGAGAAATAATTTGTATTTCTCTGATTAAAAACATAAAAATTATTAAAAAACGTTGGTTTATAAAATTATTTTTGAAGTAGTGTCTTAATAGTGATTTATTCAAAACCACAGAACCTTTTTTTATTCTAAAGTCTGGTGAATTTTACAATAGATTAAACATTTAAAACCAAATATGTATCCATTGGTAAGTGATTTTCAAGTGTGATCACCATTTGGCTATTAGCCTGCAAATCTGCAAGACTGCGATGTTTTGAATGTGATCTAGATGTTAGATATTTTCAACAACATCCCTTCAGTATGTACATTTTCTACAATTTGCCATGATCTTTGAAAAATATAAGGTTGATAATGTTTAGTCCTCCCCCACAACAAACACACACACACACACACACACACAGACACACACACAAATGGCAGAAACTGTACTAAAAGTTGACTATCCAGGCCACCACAGCAGCACATTGACATGTTTGGTATATTTTTTTCTTTTTCAGTGAATTATCAGTTATGTCGTAGTGTTTCATTACCGACTGGCGTCACTACAAACAAAACACCTAGAAGATTTTCTCGGTTTGTGGTAACACGTGTTCAAGATGATCCCCTGATAAGGTATAGCACGACAATTACTACAGACAGTTCTTCCACTAGTGATAATACTCAGCTGTTTGATAGTTCAACCTCTAGTTTGGCAGTTACTACAAACAGTTTTTCCACTAGTGTTACTTCTCAGCTGTTTAATAGTTCAACCTCTTGTTTGACAGTTACTACAAACAGCTCTTCCACTAATGTTACTTCTCAACTGTTAGATATTTCACCAAAACGTGTGAATAGCTCAACCCCAGTTACTACTTCAGAAGTAAACCAGAATTCTTCCTGCTGTTATAAGGATGCTTATCCATCTTTTACAAGTACCAATCCGAGTGTTTCGGGATTAGACAAAATGCACATTGCAGCGACATCTCCAGTAGTCAGTTGTGGTCGATTCCAAGTTCGAACAATTAGAGATGATGTTGCCAAAGATGCTGCTACTTGCATTCTTTCATCCAACAAAAACTGGGATGCCAATGGAAATGTAGGAATTCCAGAACAAAGTACACAGAATGTTGACACTACTTTTTCAGAGGTAAAGATTTAAATGTTGTTTGTAGACCTATATTGATATAATTAAAGTGTGATAGAAACATTTATTTAAGTCTGAAAACTAAAAACTCTAAGGTATAATTACACCCAAGTCTTGTACAGCCTTTCATTCTCTAACAATTACATCCAAGTCTTGTACAGCCTTTCCTCTTAGGTATAATTACACCCAAGTCTTGTACAGCCTTTCATTCCCTAACAATTACACTCAAGTCTTGTACAGTCTATCATTCTCTAACAATTACACTCAAGTCTTGTACAGCCTTTCATTCTCTAACAATTACACTCAAGTCTTGTACAGCCTTTCATTCTCTAACAATTACACTCAAGTCCGTTGTGCAGCCTTTCATTCCCTAACAATTACACTCAAGTCTTGTACAGCCTTTCATTCTCTAACAAGATTTTCTTTTGTTCTTTTATAGTCTTGTGTAGTATTTTTAAGCAGAATGATGTTTTTGGTTTTACTCTGAATACATCATTCAAATCTTTTTAGTGCATCTTTAATTTTTTTTTCTGAAACTTTTTGTGTTGGACATGATCAAGTTGTTAGCAGGCCAGACTAACAGAACCTGAGGATCCAGGGCTTGCATGACATTGCCACAAAATCTTGCTCTGCACATTGGGGTCATATGTGCATTATTGGAGATTATCTATTTAGATAATTTGACTTTTTCCTACTTTGAGTTTCTTATTATTATTCTGTGTTTCATTCATTTAGATATTGCATTCATCTACTTATTATTCCAAATTTCTTAGAAGTTTCTTACTACTCTATGTTTCACCCATTCAGATATTGTATTTCAACATTTTATTTATCCAAGCTTCTCCTTGCCATGTTTCACCCATTTAGATATTGTATTTCAACGTTTTATTTATCCAAGTTTCTCCTTGCCATGTTTCACCCCATTTAGATATTGTATTTCAACATTTTATTTATCCAAGCTTCTCCTTGCCATGTTTCACCCATTTAGATATTGTATTTCAACGTTTTATTTATCCAAGCTTCT